AACATTACATACATGTATATAACAATAAGCCATACTCTGATTCACATGCAAATATCACAGCTAGCAGTGTGCTGAGCTCTAAAGACTACATGCAGCCCCATTACAAAGCTGTATAATTATGCTAATAAACATTTTGTTTCACTTCCTTCTCTGTGACTGTGAAGATAGCATCTCTTTACATTATAATTACAATATTTGCTCCATTAGAAGCACAGTGTCAAACAGGACAGCATGTAAACAGATGTTATATTGTATATGTATATTGTATTGCATACTTCTGTCATTCACGCATGCACTACTAATAGAACAAATATGGTATCTTTTATTTCAAGACATGTGTATATATATATATAGTGTAGATACGGAAGTCGATTATTTAAAAACAAAAGTGCTCAATACAAAGTATATGTAGAGCGAGTGAATACATGAATATTGAAACTCGACAGCACTGTTTCGTAAGGTACAAGTACCTCACTCATCAGGAGCTTTATGTTTAATAATTCACTGCACCAAAGAGCATACATTATAAGCTTCACAAATTAACATATTAATTAAAATTAAATAGAAAGTTTAATTGTTACATATTAGAGCTTTTGATCTGTGTCGGCATGATGACACGAGTTCAAGAAATGATATATATATATATATCATGTTATTTTAAAAATACTTACATGTTAACCTCATTCTATAAATGCTACATGTACACCAGCTTTACTAAAAATTTTCCCTGTCATTGTAGTATGTATGTGTGGTCTGATGAATACCAGAAAACAATTATAAGAATGTAAGTGGGTCATCCAGGGTCCAAACACTCTAGATTATTTTCAGTTATAGACAGTTTTACAGCGTGACATCAAGAGTTATAGTGTGGATGAGTGCTTCCCAGATGTTTTGAACATTTCTACATGTAACAATCTGTTGTGAACAATCAGAAATCAGTAGTATTCAATTTCATTTATCCTGATTATTAAAAAAACAACCCTGATTAGACAAATTTGTCTATTCAAAATGGCTGTCAGCATGGGCATCCAAATGCCTAAATATGCATTGGACTGATAGAAATAAGGTTATACGTGTATATACACAGGTAGCTATTTTAAACCAGTGTTTTGTCAGGTAGGCATCACGTCCCCTGAGAATCTTAAGAATGTTTAGGCTTGCATTCAAACTCTGAGAGCAAGATATCAAATAATCCCAAGATCAATTATAACATAAAAACCAATGTTGAGTGCTCTCCACAGGATACAAACAGTGTAGTGTTACCACCACAGTGTTTTGTTTTACTACCACACTAGTCTGATACCACCACAGTCAATATTCTGACTGCCACAGAGATTTCATTTCTATATAACGTGTGCATGTGGTTTGAGTGTTTTAATTAGTACAATTTCTGTTTGAAATAATCATACAACTGATAGGCAAATTTTATGCAAATTAGTATGGATTTTTTTATGGAATCAAGAACATGGATACCCTTTTTTTAATCATGTTTAATCACTTCATACTTTGACATTGGCATCAATGGCAATTCCTACATATATGATTAATTAGTGTCATTAGTTCTGACCTTCAAATTAGGCTTCTGCTGTTTGTATTTCTTCTATTCCAGCTATGTTAATATTATACTTGGTATGAAGGCCAAATGAACTGATATAACAGGGTATTACTCCTTGTTTTCTAGTTTGGTATTGGTTTATTGCTTATAGCACAATTCCAACAATCATAATAATATAGTTTCATGGTAACCTGAAAACAGTATTCTGCTGGGCATTACAGTACCATATATTGAAAAAATTGGCCAAATATTATTCAAAAATATAATCTGTCAAACAATTTCAAGATATTTAATTTTTTC